AGATTCGGTGGTTAATTTATCGTAAAGGTAGAGAGTAAGGTTTACTGCCCTATTTGTTAAGAATTGTAGTTTATGTCATATCACTCCTGATCATTAGTCTCATAGCCGTGTGTTGCATTGCTTAATATTATTTGAAATAATAATAAACTAGTTTTATTACGGAAGCTTTGAGTAGTCTATCTTTTGTTCCCACAAACTCAGATCGCGTGGATGAAGAGATGATACCCACAGCCCGTGGGGTATCACAATTTTTTACGTGAAAAATGGACCAGTTTTCGGAATGTTTGATAAAATATTTCCTAAATTATTACAAAAATTCAAAATTAGCTAAAAACTCATTTTAGTATAATGAGAAAGGTATACTTTAATGGTATGAAAATTTTCAAGCATGTACTTATAACAGATTTTGAGAAAAAGTGCATCGAAAACAGCCAATTTAACATTGTCAGTATATATATTGAGAGAGGTTTCCAACTCCCCTTAAATCTTTCTGTTTGTGTGTGTGTTTCTCCTCTCTACGATTCAAGAATTTTTATTTAAAGGTTATTCCTTACTCTGAATTTTTTGTCATAACACGATTTTACTGAATTTGCTTGTGTATAGTTTGTGGGATTTTTATGTAAAACAAATATATTATCTAAAAAAAATTTTAATGTACCATATTTTTATAACGGACTAAAAAGTACATTTTTATCTTTGACTTTTTTTCTTATCTTTCTCTTCTCATTTTCGTTTTTTTTTTTTTTTTCTTTCTTTCTTCCTTTTTTCCCATTTTCATGCATTGTCATCTCCTTTTGAGCTATGGTCCAAATTTCAAATCTCTAGCTAATCGGGAAACTAGTTTAAAATCAATTGCAAAATTCCACCCGGACACGCATACAAGAAAGCGAGTTAATAAAAACAACATCATCTGTTAAAATGTGTATGTGTGCAACTCATTCGCTTTGAGTTAAATATTCAGCTCAAATCCAAACGATTGTGTAAAATGAAACATCACTCATTGCTGTGTCGTGAAAATGTCATGTCTGTGAATGACTGTGTCTGTTCGGAATTATGAAAAGATCTTCAAGATAACTCTGTAAACTTGTGGGTTCTTTTCTGATCGTGTTCGAATTGTGACAAGAAAATAATTACATTCAGGATTTTGTCCTACTGTTTATTCCACACCTTCTATGGAACATTTCTTAAAATCAAGAATATATTGAGATGCTACCAGATTACAATCCCTCGTCCAGCCATATCTTCTTTTCACGCCACCGCTCACTCTCTCTCTTCCGTTCTGACCTTTTTCCTCTCTGTCGTTGCCAGATCCTTCTCTCTATATCATCTCTCGTTCGACCTGTTGCCAGGTGCAGGCAGCGGTTCCTTACAAACTCTATCGTTAAATCAACAGCTATTTTAAATTGCTGTGCGTCATTGTCGGAGTGATTTAATTGTTTGAACGAAATAGCACGTGTTTTTAATAAATATTTTAAAAGATACATAAAATATATAAAATATGTACAAATTTAGTTTTTCATTTATGTTGAAGAAATGGTTATGTTTTATGTGCTTGTTTCTATAACATCTTTAAATGATGCATAATTAACATATATTTAATTCTGGTTTTTCGACCTCTCTATTCCCTGACACTGAATGCATTGCCGCGGGAATCGAACTTTTTCAAATACTTCTTATTGCGTGGCATCCTGAATCCTATTGGTAGATTGGTTTGGCACATCACAGCTGTAAGGTTGCCAACCCTGAGCTCAATATAAGTACGTGGTTCAATGTAGATATTTGTTATCAGCTTTCCACGCAATTTTATTTTACGTGGGTGAGATTGTTCATTTAATTTGTTTGACGATTCACTGTAAAATCCTTGTTCACCCTGATTCGATTACTTTATTTGTCTTTTTAATCTGTATTTTTTTAATTAAACTATTTTCAATAACATGTGTTTTTTTTTTATTTTGCAATAGTAAATACAATTAAGGAAATCACTTCGTCCAAGGACGTATTTATTGTGCTTCCACCCGTCAAAGTTTATATCAGAAGGGGGTGATACTATTGTATTACACTCATTTCGCTGGAAAATTCATGATATTGTAGGACTATACAAGGTGCAACACGAAAGAAAACGAGACTAAGTGTGTATCTTGAAAAAGAGTGGAGCGGACAACAACTGTTTCGGTGACGTCATTCCACAGACCACCTCTATCCATGTGGCCAGTTTCGTCTTCACCGATCACGCCAGTTGGGAGCATTGCATCATTGGAGCATCTGCATTCTGCCGGAAAAATGTTGAATCAACATCAAATTTCTTGTGAAACTTAAGAAATCAGCCACAAAAACATTTCAAATATTAACTGAGGCTTATGGAGACAAAATTTTGTCTCGTGCACATGTGTTTGAATTACGTAAGCAGTTTTTTTGGGGAAGGGACAGGATGGACAATGATGAATATGATGGGTGCCCAAGGTAAGTTGTTACAGACCAAAAAGTTGCCGAAATTCGTGGTATGAGGGGGTACCCACTCACATCAGTGGTCAAACTGTTAATCAACACTGCTCCATTGAAGTACTAAAAAGATTTCGTGAAAAAAATAAGTGATGGATGGATGTTGCACCAAGATAATGCACCCTTTTGATCGACCCTGTCTCTCAAGCAGATCCTGACCAGCAAAAACATTACTGTGATGGGACATCCTCCTTATTCAGCCATGCGACTTTTTTATTTCCTTCAGTTACATCTTGCTCAAAAACGTCTTGCTTGCTCTTGTTTTTCATAAAGGGAACCCATTTTACCTCAGTTGGTGAGAAAACGGATAATCTACTGAAAGGCCTTCCCAAATTCTTGTTCCAGAACTGTTACCAGTAAGGGAAGGACCGAATGCAGAAGTGTGTGAATGCTGAAGAGAACTACTTTGAAGGAAATAATGTCAGGGAGAACTGATTCTGTACTTACAATAATCTATTGGACCAGTCTCGTTTTTTTGAGTCACACCTCGTATATATATGTATTACATTGTCGATATCTAAGTCATAGCATGGCACCCCTCCGGTATAGTGGTTAATAACGCTGACTGCTGTGACGTATGATTTGGGTTTGAACCCCGGAGAAGGCATGGATGTTTGTAAATGTATAGTGGAGGGCATGGGGACACTCTAAATATTCGTCGAGCCCCATGTCTTTTCAAGAGGTTTGCGAAAGAAGAAGAGAGGTGGGAGGCTCCTGATCACCCTCCAGAGTGTTCTCCCTCAAACTTCGAGTAGAAACGAGTTTAATCATGCTGTCACCTGTATGGTGCTAAAAGCTGTGGATACTTACAGACGTAAGACTAGCCCCTTGTCCCGACGAATTCCATAGCCTTTGATCTTACACCATTGATCAGGTGACATCAGAAACAACAACGTCATAGCATTAAGTTTTCGATTGAATTAAAAAACATTCTAATATCCCTCATCTTATGAAAAAGGACAGGACTTGAATATCTAAAATGAAAGTATATATTTATTTTTCATACGCCTCCCCTGAAAAAAATCGATTTCCGCAAAATCCGTTCTTAGCGTATCTCCTTTCATCAAAAGAAACATACTGCGAAATTTCAAGCTTGTAGGTGTAATTGTTCGGAAACGGGAATTTTTGCTTTAATGCTTCCACAACTGCTTTGCTTGAAAGTCGATTTCCACAAAGCCCTTTCTTAGTAAATCTATAAACAACAGCAACAAAAAAGTATTGTCTAATTTTAAACTCTATAGGTCTATTAGTTCCGGTGATCTTCTGATGAGTGAATCCTTCTTCTCTTATTTATTTGATAGATATGCATTAGAAACTGCGTTTTGATCTTAAATGGGATTTCATATTTTGTTGCATTTTTCCGAACAGAATAAACTCTTTTTTTAAAAAATCATGTAACATGAAAACCCTTAGCATTCAATCTGTACAGCATTTGGACAATAGTATCATAGTACGTTTGAAGCATTCATGTAAGTCGAAGAAAAACTAAAATATTTGGCAAAATAAAGTAAAATTTATCTATTTTAATTTTCTTTATCTTATCACTTTCTTGCAGAAAGAAACAAAAAACATAGTATCCTCTTCCTGATTAAACGTCTAAGTTCGTTCTCAAATCAGGCAAGAAAAACTTTTGGAAATGTTTATAAAATTTTCTGTATTAAAACTCCCACTGTCTTTCGAGGACTCGGCAGCCTAGTGGCCAAGATAACAGACTCGCAACCGACGTGTCATGAGTTCTAGCCTAGTACCACAGAAAATCAGCCTTGAAGGGGGGCAAACACATTAAATCAGTCGAAGCTCAAACGTCCTTTTTTTGGTGTGGTGTGGGAGTTCGAAGACGGGGTGCTTGCTCAGGTGCCGTTTTCGGCACTTGATCATGGCTCAAAACCACGCGGTCCGTTGCCAAAAGCCGAGAAGATAAATAGTGTGCGACGAAAATATTCTCTCACTCACCCGCTATTTTTCCGCCTTCACTATCGGTTAGTGGCTGCAAATGTTCTTCGACACCTTGAAATATCGTAGAAAAAAACCTGTTTTTTTGCCACTGGGGAATGCTTATTTATTTATTTTTAAAAAAATTTCGAAATATTGGGGGATTTTTCACACTAGATATAACGCAACATATATAATGCAGATATACAAAAAAAATCTACTGAAACGAAATAAAATAAATACAATGAAACAGAACAATTAATGAAGAAGTAAAAGAAAAAAAATTAAGTGAATTTTTTTTTCCTACTTATAGGTCAACAAAGAAAAATTTTATTTTAGTTACTTTTTATTAATTAATTACAATTAATATAAAAATATGTATATACATACAACAGATTCACACTATTATGTGGCATTATCGAAAGCGATTTTCCTTGCAATTTTTCATTTTCCTTTCCATATAGGGTGTTGGACTATTATTTGTGTTTGTTACTATTTATTCTTTAATTAAATTTAACTAGTCTTATAAAATAGTGTATCAAAAAGAAATCACATTGTCAGAATTAGGCCATTCCAGGTGGAATTGGAACCCACGACCGTTGGATTGTAAGTCCAACGCGTTATGCCTCATGTTACAGGGACACCACGAGCGATTTTCGTTTTTATATATGTTGTTGGACAATTATTTTGGTTTGCTACTATTTATTCATTAATTAAATATATATAATTAAAGAATTAATATTTGAAAAAAAATTTCTAACATCAAGTGGCATTCACTACAAGTTTTAAAAAAGTATTTGAACTTGAGTGGATGAACAAAAAGTATTTTATTAACGATTGAAAATTTGAACAAAATGTATATATATATATATATATATATATATATATATATATAGGAGAGTGTGTGAACTATATATATATAATAGTAGGAATTGAAAAATACTCTGAGTTCTGCTTATCATAAAAAATGACATTAGCCGGTGTGAAAAATAGTTTTAGTTTAGTATATATAATTTTTGTTACTCCTTTGATTACTGTTTATAACATACGGTTCACGAAATGTTTTTCACACTTATTTTTGTTTAGGTAAGTTAATACGTTTTCCAACAACGAAAAGATGTAATTTTTTCTTATTACAAATCTTAAATTTCTTATTACAAATCTTACTTATTTGTCTTATTATATTAATGTTACTTCTAATACGAAAAAACTGTAAGGGAAATACATATTTTTGGAATTTAATGAAATACCTTTTCCAATTTTTCATATAATAAATCTATATTCAATTGCTTTGTCTCGAGAAGTATTGAAATTTTATTACCTGTGTGGTATGTTAACACCTCGATATTTTTCCTTTTTCCTGACCATTGGTTACGTAATCTTTCACGAAACAACTTCACTCTCCAGATCCACGCTTTTTTTATGTATATTGTTACTCCATCCACAATTTGAATTGTTACTTCATGCAGAAATATAATAATAGCGGATGAATAATTCGCGCTTGGAGTTCCTTACTGCCTGGAGTCAATGTTTTATTTCGAGCTCTGCGTCCTCGACTCCGGCAACGATTTTCTTCCTGAAAGCTTTTTTAAAAAGTTGTAAAATTTTATTCAATTTCTGCTTCATTCGTAATTTCTCATGCAATAGATCAAAGAACTCGGGGATGTCAAAGAATTCTTGTGTACAATAAAGCTTGTATTCTTTTGTATAAATGTGAGGAATAAACAATGCTAAGATAGCTTAACATTTCTTTGATAAATAACAAGCCAAGTAGCATGCGTATAACTACAACACATTTGAATTAAATTGATATAGCTGTGATTCTGTAAGTGAAAGACCTGTCACTGTCAAGGTTCGATTATGTTGCTAGTATATATAAGAGAGTAACAGATTCAAATTATTTACCAGATTCCTATATACTTCTTTTCGGACGCCTTGCTTTTCTCAAGTGAGTAAATCCGTTTTTCAATTCCTATTATTAGCTCCCACTCTCCCTATATATATATATATATATATATATATATATATATATATATATATATATATATATATATATATATATATATATATAGTTCAAATTTTTTAATCGTTAATAAAATATTTTATATTCATCCACTCAAGTTCTGACACATTTTTTAAACTTGTATTTGATGACGCTTGACATTAATATAGTTTTTTCAAATACTAGTACATTAATTAAATTTAATCCCTGAACAAATAGTTACAAGCATTAATAATGGTGCAACACCATATATAAAAAGGAAAATCTCTCGTTGAGTCCTGTAGCGCAATGGATAGCCCGTTGGACTTCTAATCCGAAGGTCGTGGGTTCGATTCCTACCTGGATGTCCTATTTTCTGAGAACGTGATTTATGAATGAATAAGTAGTAGCAAACAAAAGTAATAGTCCAACACAATTTGTAGAAAGGAAAATGGAATATCGCTTTCCATTTTGCCACTTAATATTGTGATTCTGTCATATGTTTATACATATTTATGTTAAGTATAATTATTTAATACAAAGTGAATAAAAAATGGAATTTTCTTTGTTAAAGCAGTAAAAGTAGGAACTGACTAAAAAAAATTTTTTTATATTACTTGTTTAGTTGTAATATGTTACTGTGACCAATATCTTGTAATATAATATTTGGTTATTTGTTGCTAGTTCTGTTCATACTGAACAGCATACTTTTACAAAATGCATATAATAGAATGCATAAATTTTAAACCATTTTATAAATCACTGATTTTAAATTTCGCCTTTAGTGAAAGACTTTCACATGTGAACAATATTATTCTAAAATACTCTATATTAGAATCTAGGTCTCTCTCTTCTGGCACACGGTACAATTCTTAATGGTACTCTACACCTCTCGACAAATTAGTGAAATTTGTGTAAAGGTAATCTTCAGAACTACGGAAAGGAAAATTTGCGGAATTATTATAAAATCTGGAAGTAACTCTGGCAATAAGTCAACAACTATTTTTAATTGTTATATGCCGTCTCTGGAGAGATTTAGGTGTTAAAAGAAAATTGCATGTATACACAATGTTTTTCAAGTTTTTTGAAAAACAAAACTTTTATTAAATTTTTGAAAAACAACGATATTTTACTTCGTGTTTTCTTTTTTAGCATCAGTCAACAAGTTGTTTGATGTCGTCTATTTTATTATTCATTTCACCATCGGAATGGGCGTCTAAATAACTGCGCATAATTTTCATGGTGTTCCTCATTTCGAATGACGTTGGAACAGGACTTGATTATTTATCTCATTTTTGCCGTCGGAATCTGTATCAATAATAGTTTTTGAACTTTGAACAAAATATCTTTGGCTGTCATAATTGGGACTGTACATACATTATCATCCTCTACTGCACCGAATTTTTCTGACAGTAGGACAATCCAATAATGCAGAAAAAAATATTCGAAACCACATCTCTTTCATTTTTAACACCGCTCTTAAGTCTTTGTTGTTTCCCGTATCTTGAGAATACCCAAAAGGATAATCTTTTCGTGTTAAGCGATTTTCATTTCATGTTTAGAGAAAAAAATGCATGAAAATACCTAATAATTCATCGCGGGACCGTTGTATTATTTCGTGTTAACCGATATTTCGTCTTAAGCGCTTTCGCGTTAAGCGTATTTTACTGTATTATGCTTCCCATTTTTGGTTCTATATGTATATGGGAACAACTTTTTTTCTCATATGAAATATATTTTGAGATCACAAAAAAGTTGTTAAACAGCTAATCATTCAGAATCGTGTCAAATTGAAAGTTATGAATTATACCCCTGATATTCTCTAATATTAAGTAGAGTTTTGTAGGGATAAATTTCTCAATAGATTTTAGTTTTTTATTTCACTACATTGCAGGAATACTTATACATGTGCGTGTGTTTAATTCTTATTTTAATAAATATTCTTAAAAGATGCATAACATATGTACAATTTTAATTTTTTATTTATGTTGAAGAAATAGTTATATTTTATAGGTTTATTTTTATGTTAATAAATATCTTTAAATAACATGCTTAATATATAATGAAGCTCTAAATCTCTGTATTCTTAACCCCTATCCCCTAACTCTGTATGCATTGCCACGGGAATCGAATTATTTCAAAGATTACCTACTATATGGCACCTTGAATCTTATTTGTATATTGATTTAGCACACCACAGCTAAAGGTTGCCCCGATCACAGCTCTATGTTTATTTAGAAGATTTTTTCTAAAAAATTAAGGTTTTCGTTCATTAGAACATATGTTTTAATTCAGATTCATAATGACATTTTAAAATAGCAAAAAAGAAATGATCTTATTGTGAAGGGCAAACAATATAGTATCAGAAGCCAAGACAGTGGAATAATTTCTCTTTACTTTCATTCCAGTTTTAGGACAATGAAGCTCTTCTTCGTGTGTCTCTTATCCATGACCTTGATGACCCTTAGCCATGGTTGGGCCATCGCAGTATCTTGTTACAGACTAGGCCCAGACGGACAGATTCATTGCACTCGGGCTATAGACCCCAACGGCTTTTCTGCAGCTGCAGCCGCTGCTGTTACCGGTAATGGGCAAGTAGCGAGGCCCCCTGCCCACTACGGACTGGACCCAGAAGGAAGTAAGCTGAATTATTTCGCTGTTTAAATTAATCTTATTGAAATACCGATTAAAATTCATTTTCTTTTATGTAAACTCAATTAATAGAATTAACTATAGCAAATTAACTACCTGATTGATGTTAAAGAACAAATCCCAAACTCGTTAATACATCTTCTTAGGTCAAAAAAGTTTTGTAAAAGCGCAGTCGCCTTCTATAGGTATTGGCTCCTATTTGCGGTACTTCATTCCTGGAATTCGACACTTCAAAAAAATGTATAATAAAAATAAAAATATAAAGAAATTTTGTAAAGTATGTATTTCAGTATTAGCCACTTAGAAATTTGTGAATTTTTTAAAATAAATTTAGACTTGACTGACCATTAGAAAAAGAATATATTTTTTTCTATTTAGTTTTTTAAAAAAAAAAGAAAGATGAATCTATTACTTTTTGAATGTAGCCTTAGTTAGAATCTGTTTATCATACAAAGACCACATTTGACCCTCAGGCATACACAAATGTTGCTCAACTGCATTCTGTTTACTGAAAAGAGAAAAGATATTCTTCCTGAAGACAATGAACTCGAATTTGCTTCTAACTTTACGTAAAGAATATTTTATTCTCCAAATTACTGAAACATTCCCAGTCTATATGTCTGGGGGAGAAGAAAAAGAAAAAGTTTAGTTACTGGAAACAACTCGCGATATAAAAGATATCTCCATCTCTATTTATGACACCCCATAAGCAGCAGATATTGTTCGGGAATAATATATAAAAAAAGAAAAAAAACATCTAAATCGTGTACTTAATGCTTACAAAAACTGTCAAAGAATATGGTTTTGCTTTAGCCAATGAATCCTTTAATTCTACAACATATTAATTCATTGTTATCAACACATGTATATATTACGAAATATTCTTAAATGAAATAAATGTTGCATGAGTCAATTAAAAATAATTATATTTATCCAATTAATTACTAACTTCTGTTTAGTTAAAAAAGGTAACAAACTCGACAAATTGATATTTTTAAAATTTATGGAA